CTTTCTTTCTTTCTTTCTTTCTTTCTTTCTTTCTTTCTTTCTTTCTTTCTTTCTTTCAGAAAAAGAAGCTTTAATTGACTTAATTCTCAAAGATTCTCACTTACCAGTAGGAAAGATTAATTGCTACTTAGTCATCCTCAGATCAGAGCATCTGGTGGTATCAGTTTAGCAGTACACCAGCAGAAGCCAAGCAGTTGTCTTTAGGATGCATTCCTCTCTCTCGTTAAGTAATGCTCTCTTATTTCTTACCTTATTCTGCTTTGCCTCTCCTCCCTATAATTTCTCTGGGGCCTCCTAACGATGCCCTCACGTTCTTTAGTGATTGCTGTTACATATATACATGTGTGTATATGTTCCATGTAAATTTGTAAGCACAACCTGCTGAGTTTGTTCAGTGTTGCTCACACATGCATGTGTTTATGGCTGTATCCTTGGAATTTAGTCATCTACCAGGAGGCTCATCCTCAGAGAAGACTGATCATCCTTCTCCCAGGAGTCATGAGTTGCCTATAGCTCTTCCTTTAGGGGCAGGACCTTGTGAGATGTCCCCCATCCACATTGTCATATCAGCTGGTGCTGTCACCGTGCAGGTATTGTTTAGGTAGCCATGTTCTTGAGATTTCTTGCGTGCAGCTTTTCCTTCGTATAAAAGGCACTGTAGGCAAGTTGTGTACGTTACAGGAAGCGTTGCAGCCAATGTCCTGGTTATCTGGTTTCAGTGGTCTTTCCGCCCCCTCTTCTGCAATGTTTGCTAAGCTGTATGCTAAACTGTAGGCACAGGGATTACGTTGGAACTGACTGGTCAGTTGTTCTCTGCATATTGACCAGTTGTTTCTTTCTGTGATCATCTCCATTGGCTTCGATAAGAAAGTGTTTGGAAGAGTGGTGGGAGCCACAGTTATCTGTGCATATAAGTATTTAGAACACAGTTCTGCTTTAGGGGATGTGGCAATAGTAGGTTCTCCTCTGGCTCCTTGACCTCACCAGCCACAGGTGGTTGTCTAGGATTAACTATGTCAAGTTTGAATTCCCTCCTGTTGAGCTGGCCTTAAATTCAGTTAGACCGTTGGTTATCTCCGGTACGTGAGTGACACTATCTCACCTTTGGTGTGTCTTACTGTTATGGTTAGTGTTGCTAGCAGGGCCGGACTATTGATTTTCAACTTTGGCAGCTTTCATAGCTCCTCGCTGTACCCTGAGAGCTAGTCTTTAAGAAAGGGGCTGCCAGTTGGCCTACCTTGATTCCTCCAAGTCCTCTGTCCAAAGCGTGCAGTGTCTTTAGCAATAGATCTTACTTTTAATTTTGGGAAGGTAAACAAGGGCCACAGCAATAACAATATTCACACACACACCTAATTGTAATAAACATAAAATAATGACTCCCTATGGCTTTTCCAAAATTTTTATGATTATTTGTTCCTATTTACCCTCTGAAATTTTCATATATGTGCACAATTTATGTTGATCATAATGACTCCCCAACTATTTCCCTCCAACTCTCCCTCAGACCCATAAACCCATTTTCTTTTTGACTCCGTGTCTTCTTTTGTATTACAGTAATACTAATGATGATGGTAATGATGGTCTCCGGAGTCCAGTTAATTCTGACCACATGTGCATGGGCAGTGTTTTTGCCAATAATAATGATGATGATAATGATAGTCTCCGGAGTCCAATCACTGGAGCCACATCCCCGTAGAAAACTGATTACCCTCCTCCCTCACAGCCATCACCTGCCAACAGTTCTTTATCCAGGGCAGAGGTCCTGTGAGCCCCTCCCCCAGCCATGCTGGGGTTTTGGTTGACCCAATCTTATGCAGGTCTTGTGTAAGCAACTGTGTCTGCTGTGTTTTGGGTGGGTCTGTCAGTGATGTCATGTCCAGAAGGCAGCATTTCACAGCTCTCCTCCCCATCCTCCAGCTCTTAAACTCTGTTTACTCTTCCAAGATGTTCACTGAGCCATGGATGGAGAGAGGCTGGCGTAGAGGGCCCGCCTATGGCTGAGCTCTCAGTCACGGATTCTCAGCACTTTGACTACTTGTGAGTGCACTGACCATTGACAACTGCAGAAGGAAACTTTTTCCACCAAGCTTGAGAGTGGCGCAAGTCTGGCTTTCCCACACGCACTCTCAGTTAAACATCTTTTTTTATTCCTGTTGCTTTTTTATATGTGCATACACTACTGTGCTTTCTCAGTCTTTTTTATATTCTGTTATTAAATGTGTCCTTTGACAGTTTCATACATGGATATATAGTGTGCATTCTGATTACTGTCGCCCTCAGCCCTCCCTTTTCCCATCAAACCACTCTCCTCTCTGCAAGTCTCTTTTCCGTATTCTTGAGCTGCTCTTCTGATTTAATGCTGAGTTGGTTTAACCAGGGCCATTTATGTGAACATGAGCTTAAACTCTCTATTGGAGCTTCATGGGCTCATGAGTATTTATCCAACTGAAGGAGTGACTCTCCAATCTCTGAATCTATCACTGCCCATTCATTTGATGATGGGGACACAGGCCCTTTGGGTCCCTCTCCCATTAATGTCTGGCTTCTGACAGTCCATTTTTCTTTCGGTTGCCTTAAGTCCATCGACAGAATGTATCAGAAAATAGCAGTTCTGTAGCTCGGCTTTCTGTCTTCCAGCTCTTACATTCTTTGTGACCGTGCCCTCTCTTCCCCTTTGTTCCCTGAGCCGAGGGAGGTTATGGGGTGTATGCCTCATTTGTAGCTCAGCAGTTAGTTACTGAGTCAGTTTGCAAAGCTGAAGAATGGTTGAGCTTTGCTCCCATCTCCTGCTTAACTATGTGGTACATTCCATAACTGCTCTCTTTTTACAGGCGCTTTTCCTACTTTTAACTCTGTACTCAAGTTCTTCTTTGCTTACTTCCTGTTTCTTTTTTACCTACCCTCCCTATCCCTGGGTTTCTTATTGCTTTGAATGAACCTCTACTAATTCTACTGGTAATGTGATATTAGTGACCTGTTGGCAGCAGTTTTCCTGTTTGAGGAAGCCTGATCCTCATTAGCTTTAGAAGCTTGCTCAGTCTGCAGGGGCAGTGTAGGGGAACTTGGCCGGCCTGGGTGTGCCTTTGTGTGCTAGCCAGTTGGGTTTCAGCGGAAGCATAGGAGCCCTGACACTGTTTCTCAGCAGTCTAAATGACTTGGAAATGATTCTGCTTTTCTCTCATCTTAAAACTACATTGTCCACTCTGCTGTTGCTCTTTGAATGCTGTACTATTAAAAATATTTTTTTTTTCTTGAGAACTTTGGGTTTCTTAAACTGAGATAGATGGGTGGGGTAGGAAATTGTGCCGAGGAAAAGAATATTGAATCATTGAGAAAATGTTTCTGGTCATGTTTTCCCATCTTTGTGGACACTGGCTGTGTGCTGAGATTGGCTTTGGCTGCTCTATGGCTTCCTCGCCTGGTTTTTTAAGGAAGTTTTGTTTGTTTTTTGTTGTTTTTTGTTTTGTTTTGTTTTGTTTTTTCATAACAATCTCAAGTTGTTCTTTTCCCTCTTGTCATTCAGTTTCTGCCCTCTAGTTATGCATCTTCATTCAGCTAATCTGTTCAGAAGCAGCGAAGGGAACAACTCAGAATGCCAAGGAGGAATAAATACACAGAGGAGGCCCTGGTTTGGTCTGAAACCAGCTTTCTGGGATAGCTCTAAGCTCAGAGGGTGGGAGGGTTGGACCGTTGTCATGTTTTCTTGTAATTTGCTAGCTCTTGAGAGAATTGGAAATATGAGAGAAAGGAAGGAAAGGCTGCTCAACTAGGGATAAGAAGAGTGTGTAAAAGGAGAGGCTCTCAATAGGAAGTCACTCAGTGCCCTATTCTGTCCATCCCAGCTGAGAAGTCAGAAGAGATGGAACCCCATTAGGAGAGAGTAGTTGACAGCATGAAATATCACAGGGTTGCTGGCCTGAGAGGGACACATGTACATGAACGAGTCTATGTTTATTGCTTGCTGTAGGCATCTTATCTGCTTCCTTTTCTCCTGTCAGTACATATAACCAAGAATCCTCTGTAGTTTTTTAGTAGACTGTCAAAGCTAGACCCCCTTTTCTGGAGTATCTAGCACCTTCTGATGTTAGCCCTGAGCATGTTCTCTTAAAGTTAAGCATTGCACTGTTTATTTCATTTATTGCATTCATATATTTTTTTATATTTTTTATATCCAGCTTCCAACCAGAGGACTATACAACCTCCTAGGGTAAGTTCAAATGTATTAAATGAATTAAGAACAGTTGTTTGATGGATTAAAATGAAGGGTTGGTAATTGGAATATTGGGCTGTTTTGCTCTTTGGTTAATGTGACATCAAATTAAGACAATGCTGAAGTCATTTCAGGGCATGAAGGGGTCTGATTCTACTGTAAAACTTACCTTGGGCCATTTAAGTACCGATGAGCTGGGAGAAATGATCCTTTAAGATCCAGAATTGGACATGCTATGAGGAGGAGTGTGGTTAGCTCTTCCATTGAAAGGAAGCTGATGCCAGTGTGTCTCCCCACCTTTTGGATCTGTTTGACGTGACTTCACAGAATGACAGTTTCAAGCCTGACAGTAAGGAAGAGAAGTTTGTATTAAACTGACTTTACTAAAAGACACAGTCTGTAAGGTAAAATCCGTCCCAAATAATGACTCCCCTGTTTTATGAGGAGTTTTCTCTCCCAAGGGTATACTACAGGTCTCATTGTATGTTGAGTACCTTCATAAACTCTTTGGGAAAATTCTAAGAAAAGAAAGCTAATTCAGGAGGAGATGTATGAGAGAGAAAAAAAAAATCACCGTATAGACTCACCATGGTGACAGGCCTGAGAGTTCTTACATGGAATTAAGATCTGAAGGGGACCATATTGTACTCAGCTTTCTGTGCATGACTGACAGATAAATCTGGCAGCCTCTAAGGACACGCCCAGAGGGCAGGCTTGGGCAGAGCGTGTTAATTCACCTCCACCTTTTATTCTGAGGAGACTGGTGTCATAGCTATGTTAGTCACAAGCAGCTAGCAGCTTTCCTAGTGCCTCTTAGAGATAACCTGACCAATGGACCATTAAATCCTAACAATTTTCTTGCTGTTACCGAGTTCAATTTGCATGATGTGAAAATGATTCCGTTTCGCTACCATCTCTTACTTAACTGTATTTTCTATCTGTTAATGCAGTCTGCATGTTTGTACATTAATACTTTCATAAGGATTTCTTAAACTGAGAATGATGGGTGGAGTGGGAAATTTTTTCACAGAAAATATACTACAAGAATAATATGGTTATTATTAAACTATTAGCTAGCCTTGGGAAGCTTTGTTTCATTAGCTTTTCCTGTCTTTATTTTGCTTTTAGACCTTAGGATTCTCCACTTATAATACAAGTTCAATGATAGTGTAAGTTTTAGCATAAAAGACATAAAATAACATTTTGTATAAATGTATTTTAAATATTTTCCAGAAAGCTGTAGAGGAACCTCTTAATGGTATGTGATTATTATACACTTGGTCGTCATGGTCCATTAGCAGATCATAATTTGAACTGATCCTCAAAGCTATTAGAATGCCCATCAGTGTCTTGGGAAGAATCTAGTTTGGGAGTTTTGTCTGTTTGCTTGCTTTTTGGTCCATATGTTCTCTTGCCTTGATCTCTTGATTCTTCCTTGATTATTCATCAGAAATTGGTAGCATTGCTTTTGTAATGTTCTCACTGCCCTGCACTATACTGAGTGACATTTGGGCAAGGGGACCATTGATCCTTTTTGTAGTGGACGAGATGATGTGTCGCACCCTCAGTTAAAAAAAAAAAAATCTCTGTAGCTTATGATTTCTGATTTGTCAAGTTTAGAAAAATACAGGCTGCCACCATGGAGTGATACCAAAATGTGTCACTTACTTTCTGTGTGAATCCAGCTCTGTGTTCCCCAGCAAGTCTGTTTGCTTTTGTGGATACTGGGGGTGTGAACTGTAGAAGTGCTTTGCAATGAATGGTAGCCTCAAATGAGTCAAGCTGCGGAAGAGTTGGCATTGTGTCGTTCTTCATTTGTTTATTTTTGAGATTATTTGTAACTGTGAAATCTTACTAACTTGCCTTCTTACTAATTGCCTGCTTGTTACTAATCCTTAGCATTTAAAGAATCAAAGGGAATGATGAATGACGGTAAGTAGAAGATTCACCTGTGATTGTACACTGACTGATGCATGGACATTTAAAAAGAAAGCAAAGAGGTTCTTGAAATTGAAACTTAAAAAAAAGGGGGGACACTGTCAATCATGAATGTCCACATTCATGATGTTTAAGCCTTCCATTGAGGTTGCTGTCTTGTTCTTTCTTTTACCTACCATAGTGTCACTTTTTTCACAAGTGGGTAAGGAACAAAACTCATAGGGTCTCACAAACTGGAACCTCCTGGTTCCTCAGCAGAATGGTTGCTGCTTTTGGTAAACATGTTTTAGGTCATGTACCTGTTGATTGAACCTTTAAAATGCCTTTTATAAGGTGTGCAGATATCCCGGCATACTTGTGTCTCACCCTCACAGGTTCCTTTCATACTCATGGAGATGGTTTTGCTCCACTGGGGGTGATGTGGCTGCTTTTCCAAGCAGGAACTTGCTCCCAACCTTGTGGAAAGGTATTAAAGAGAAAGAGACTTCATCACTCACCCCAGCTTCTCCCTCTCTCCTGAACTCCAGACCAACATACATTTCCTGAATGTGACCAACACATGCACTTGTTAATTTTTACCGAAGAAGTCTGTGATTTTGCACCTTAATATATACATTTTTTAAACCTTAATATACTATGATCCTCCAGGCCCATTGGCATTTAGTAACTGCATTTGTATTTTCATCCTATTTTCAAAAAAATGTTTTTCATGCCATTAGTACTTGCAACCGTTCCTTGCTCACATAAAACCTTTCTTTGTATTGTATTTTACTGTCGTAAAGCTTGTGACCTGCCTGCTCACCTCCGTAACAAAGAGCTGCAGGAAACACAGGAGGCCTTCTTCCCCAGAGCACAATTAACTCCTGCCTAAGATTAAAAACACCTGGATCATGTGTTGGGCGAGCTAAATTTAAAACAGGCGCTGGTTTCATGGGAAGTCCAGAATGGTCCCATGGTTACAGGGTTTTGTCATAGCTTTTAAATGTGTGTTTTGCTACACAAGCTGCCACTACCTAAAAATATTGCCTTTAGTGGGAATAAGTGTAAAACAATGCCAGGATTCCTGGCATGGTTTTATCATGTTTACCCTCTGTGTCTTGTTTTTCAACTTTTATGTTCTTTTTTTTACCTACCATGGTATCATTTTTCTGTAAGTGGGTTAAAAAAATAAACTGTTCTCCATTTGCAGAAAACTAACATGAAAACCTTCAGTGCCTCTTTGTTAATTTTCTTTAATTTGTAACCTTTTTTTTAAGTCACCATATCTGGAGATGGCATTAAGAACTATTACTTTGATTTCTTACTTGTTTGTGTAGAGAGGTCTGTGGTGACCTTGAAAATGCCCTGAACTTTGTTCACATTTAGCTGATCACACTTTGTTTTTCAAATGTTTGTTGACGGGCTCTGTCTTCTGATGTCCACTGTGGGCTCATAGTGCGCCTTGTCACACTGAATGAGGTTCAAGGTGACTTCCCAGGCACTTCCTCTATTAACTGAACGGTGTAAATCTAAAGTGAACATGGTAGAATATTATTCTTGGATCAATAACTTCTGCTTTGAGAAGGATCAACATTCCTTGCCTTTTGTTGAGCTCACCCAGCAAGATAAACCAAGATTATCAGCCTGTGTTGACTGTATTTTCATTCGTCCTTGGCATTTTACTCGCCAAACTGAAAAGGCTAATGATTTGCCTGATTCCTTGCCTGTTGCCTTCACAGATATGTTGCCATTATCTTTTATCTAGTATATCTGAAACAGATCATGTCTTAATGCATAGGAAGTAGACATGGGGAGTGATGAAGTGTCGCTGTTTCTTTTTTCAGAATAGGTGAAGGGAAGTGATGGACTGTAACTTGAGAGTCAGCAGTGAAGGGATACACTTGTGTTTCAGCACCATGGCCCGGATTACTCACAGCTGGAAAGAAGAACACAAACCGCAGTAACTGACTTTCATCTATGAAAGAACATTTCATTGACCCATAGATGATTATGACAGTTAAGTTTCTATTCAAAGCAGCTGTAATTTACCTAATAAAAGAATTACGACATGTGTTGTGTAACCAATTGAAATCCATTTTTCTATTGTTTCTATTCAACTAGGGGCAAAAGTTTCAGGGGCAACTTCTAAGAATGATGCTTGTTAGATCCTTGAGTCTCTGGACACTGAGTTTTAAGTTGATTCTGGATGAGACTTGCCTAGCACCAACCTGATGGTTATCCAGAGATGCCTGTGAAAAACAGTGGTACCCAGCAAGCCTTAGTACACTCAGGTTCCCAGCAGCTTTGTCACTTACGCTGCCAGCTGAATAATGAGACTGCCACTTGAGGGTCACAGTAATAGAGACGGCAGCAGAAAAGATGAAACTGATTGGGCAAGTCATGTATGGCCCGTACGTGTGCTATGATATTGATGGCACTAGTGTCTTCATTCTTGGGGGTTGCCGCCATTCACACATTCCCCCCTTTGACATACAGTGCACCCAGATTTTGGATACTTTTTTATGGCTATGTTTTTTTCCTCTTTCCTTTTTTGCACACGGCCCTTTGCACCCTGTCCTGCCTTGCTACTTGTGTTAGCGGTACAATATGGAGTACCTTTTCTCCTCTCCAAACATGGTCCTGTGACACGATAGTGTCAGTTTCAGAAAGGAGCCAGACTTATTCTCCAAGCACTGTGCTCACACTCTTCAGAAAAAAAAAAAATAGCTATGGTTGTAACATATGTATTCCAGACCTCTGGTTTGAAGGCAAAAATCTACAGTGTTTCTTCCCATGTTTTCTGATCGGAGGCATGACAAAGCAAGACTGAAATCCAAACTATGCGTCTCCTGCATGGCAACGTGTGTCTCCGTCAGGCCCTAGCAGGGCCCAGGGAGGAGGTTTTACGCCTGTTGTCTCTCTGTTGCATGATGAACACACATCACTTTCCTCCTGTATCCTGCCTCCTGCCTCCTCCTCTAAGTTTGGAAAATTGAAACAAAACCACCACATTCCCTACCCAGTTAGAAGAAATCCGATGTCCTGACAGTTGTGACCGCATGGAGTACTTTTAGATTATTAGCACTTGTTTCTTTTACCTCGTCTGTGGGCGTGTCTGTATGTACACAGGCGTCTTCTGTAGGGACAAGAGTGAGGCATCTACAGAAGAGCCAATGCTAACTTTGTGCTTCTAGTGAATACATTTAAACACAAAGGTCTTTATTGGGTGGAATTATATTTGATGCAAACATTTGATCTCTTTAAAACTAGGTCATGTGCCAAGCTTTTTTGACTGCTCACCAGTGTCCTCTAAGGAAAAAAAAAAAAAAATACCAGTACCTTTTCCTATTTGTGTAATGAAGCATTCGTGTTTGTGTTTACATTACTAATGGTTATTTCTTCTCAGTCCCCTGAATGTTTCCTTGTGCCTCTTGTATGCCAAATTTATTGTCATCTTTCATGTGGGGACCAAGTGGTTTGTCTGTGGCAAACCTAAACTTACGACCTGCTGAGGCCTCTCAGAAAACTGACCACACTACCAAGATAGTGCTTCTCAGAGAAAACTGGGTTTCCACCCTGATTTTGTAGCTGTTCAAAATATTCGCGTAATGAGAGGGAGCTGAATGCCTTTATACACATCTGATGGCTCCTGGTGGCTTTTATTCTTCCTTCGGAAAATATTTACACTTTGCTCATATTGTTGGTTACTCAAAATCAGTTTTGATGAAGCGAGCAGAAAGCAGGTGGACTTGGAACAGATTCAGATTTTCCTATTCTCTATTAAAGAAAGTCAGGTGTGAAAATCTTTACAGTCAAAATTTTTTTATGAACTAAAGTTGTACCTTTTACTATGTAGTCAACGCCTCTCTGCTCGGGGTTCAGTCTTGGGTCTTAACCAGCTGCCATGTTCTCTGTGCTGCCTGCCATTTGAGGCATTGAGTGCCCTAGACGGTGCCACTGGCGGTAGCCAGTGAAACGCAAGATGAACTCAGCTCTTGCTCTTAGTTACCAACTTCTCCGTATAAAGGACTGTAGCAGCAAGAGTCCTCCTGCCTGGGCATTATTGGGCCAGTTCACCCTCTTTAAATCAAACCCACCATGGCTCCCAGTTCTCGTCCTATCAGATTCAAATTGCTAACGATACCGTGGGCATCGCGCATCTGTTTTGTCCCACGGCGTGCTCTTTTTTTCTCCCCGATCCCAGTTTCTGTTGTCGTATCCCCGATTCGGTTTTTATTTATTGTCTGCGCTCCGTTTATACAATAGTGCAGAGTGATGCCATTTGTCATCTTCTGCAACAGTTTTTCCAGCCTTTATGGCGGAACCCCATTTTTCTTCTCTTTCAAGTCATGGCGCTCCAGCTCTCATCGCTCACTGGCTCTACTCTACAGTCTGTCCCCATCTGTCTGGGGGCCTCTTTCATCTCTCACTTACCCTTCCTGGTGCTTCATGTATCACTCCTTAGCTCTGTTTTTGTTGTTGTTGTTTTGTTTTTTTGGTTTTTTTTTTTTTTTTTTTTGTCTTATTCTTCTCACTGGACTTTAAAATTCCTTCCACAGCATAAACTGTTGCTTCCCTTTTCTGCCCGCAGTGTTCCACACACATTAGACACTCAGTACAGAAGTTTGGCGGCAAAAATTGCCTGTATTTAGATTTCTCTTTTTAATGGAATGTTTTCTTGTCCTTTCTCTTCTTTTTCCTTTTGACAAACTTCACAGGCTTTGAAAATTACAAAAGGTGTCAGTTCACCTGAAAATTCCAAGTCTGGTGTTTAAGTCATTGAGAATATCAGATTAAAAGTCATGGGGCTGTATCATAATAAGCTTTCTTTCAGGATGCTGTAGTCAATAGAGTGATCAAATTGCATTTGAGTTAATAAAGCTCAAGAAGTGATTCATTCACTCTGCTGTTATCTCATTAATAAGAGTTCAGCTGTATATCTTCGTCTAGGTTTATCTTGTCTTACAATGAGTATTCAAAAATGGCCGCCAGAGGATGTGTGTAAATACAAGCGCCTATATCTGCCTGTTGTTGGGAACTGAAGAAAAATATTGTCTGGCAACCCCTTGTCTTTTTATTGTATTTAATTGAAGTTTATTTAGAGACAAGAGTTTTCAAGATCTCTTAACTGCCACACCCACTGGGGGTCTCATTACATCATCTGCAGTGGCTAACAGGGATGATCCAAGTTAACTTTAAAGAGATGAGCAGTGCCCAGGAAAATGTCCTGCCTTTAACTTTGGTCACCCTTCATTGTAACTGTTTAATACTGAGTTTTCCATAAATCTAGTGTTGGGGGCGGGGAAGAAAAGGCATTTTTAATAAGCATTCCTGTAAGTCGGCATCGGCGGGATCTTCAGTGTTGTTACCATGATGGATGAAAGAGGAAAACATTTTAGATTTTTATTAAACAGAGCATTATTTACAGAAAGCCATTGTTGAGAATTAGTTCCCACATCACATAAATATCCATTAACCATTCTAAATTGTAAGAGAACTCCAGTGCTGCTATGTGCAAGGAACTCTCCTGGGGAACTTTCTGCATAGCAATTAAAGGTATGCTATTTGTCAGTAGCCATTTTTTGCAGTGATTTAAAGACCAAAGTTGTTTTACAGCTGTGTTACCCTTAAAGGTTTTTTTTTTAATATGTATTAAATCAATTTATCACTGTTTGAAGCTTTGAATACCTGCAATCTTTGCCAAGATACTTTTTTATTTAAAAAAAATAACTGTGTAAATATTACCCTGTAATATTATATATACTTAATAAAACATTTTAAGCTATTTTGTTGGGCTATTTCTGTTGCTGCGACGGCAGACCACAAATACCTTTCTGAGGAATTTTTCTTTTTTAATATATTTTCCTAGCTTTCAAAATTCTGTGTGATACAGATGAGTCTTAAAAAGAGCTTTTATTTAATAGTTTGAGTATATTCAATGCATGACTCTTAGGGTTTAAATTAAAAGTTTGAAGCAGATGCAGTGTATGTTATAGGTAACTTTTTCCCCACGATAGGATGTAGCATTAGGAGAAAACAGGAGTCCTGGGTTCTCTTCCTGGAGTTCTGCTCCCTAAATCGCTTAACAGTACCTCCAGAGGGTGCGGTTAGCCTCTGCCCAAACCAAAATCTACGTGGTTCTCCATTTTAACTTGTCCTTGATGAAGCTAGTTCAACTGCAATTAAAGACAAATTAAAGAAAACTCAAATCTCAGGTGAGGATCCTGCAGATCTTTTGACCAGTGTAACCTGAAAATTTAGCTGTTGCAGCTCGAGTCTGGGCTTCTGAGCTAGTCAAGGGGTGGTCCTGTTCTGCCAGCTTTCAGCTTTTCTCTTCATGGACCCTGCCTTCCCAGTTCCACTTGATACTAAAGGACTTAGCACAAGAGTTGAAAACCTGAGTACATGTCAGTTTCATGTTTCGTTGCTGTGATGAAAATACCTCGCCAGAAGCAATTTAAGGAAGAAAGAGTTCATTTTGGCTCTTGGCTCACAGTTTGAAGGTTTACAGTCCATCAAGGCAGAGCAGCCATGGCGTCAAGGTTTTGAGGAAGCTGACATTGCACCCATAGTCAGGAAGCAGAGAGAAATGGATGTATGCTACTGCTCCGCTTCCTTTCTTCTCATTCTTCATCCAGTAGTTAGGTTGGGTCTTCCAATCTCAACCTAACTGAGATAGTCCCCCAAAGACACGCCCACAGGCTTGTCTACTGTGTGGCACTAGATCCTATCAAACTGGCTGTTTTAACTTTCGCAGTGTTCTACCTCTGAGTCCCTGAGGCCGAGCATTCCTTGCTCTGACTCGGCCGGACCCACTTCCACATCCAGCCT